CCTGAGCGGGAGCAGGTGCGAGACGAGATGCAGGAGCGGCATGGCGCCGCGCGCCCGGTTTGCTCGTCTCCTCGGGCGCGGCGTGGGGTCGAGTCGATCCCCCCCTTCTCTCGCACCATTTTCCCCTGAGGAGGGAGGAGGGAGGGAGGGAGGAGGGGGAGGGATGAGGGAGGGAGGAGGAGGGAGGAGATGGGATTGGGAATGGCGTGGGGACGAGTCTGAAGCTTCAGGGTAGAAAGTCGTAAGTAAGTCTGAATCGAAAGAGCTGGCCCGCCATACGGACACGTCCAGTGGTGCGACAGGGATTTATTCATACGGAAGAGGGATGAAGGAATGATGATGCTGCTGCTGCTGCTGCTGATGATGATGCTTATGATTGTGATCATGATGATGACGATGCTGATGATGATAAAGATGATGATGGTGGTGGTGAGGATTCTGATGGTAGTCGTGGTGGTGGTGGTGGGGATGATGAGGATGATGATGATGATGATGACGACGACGATGATGATGATGATGATGATGATGATGATGCTGATGATGATGATGAGTCGTATTCTTCTTGTTATTATTATTCTTATTGTAACTCTTGTTACGTATCATTATCCGAGTGGTGTTTGTTATTAGTTTTTTTATGATGTTCATTATCATCAGTGCTTTCATTATTCATAAGATTGTTACTGCTGTATCCTTATTGTTTTGGCTAGTCAGTTTTTGTTTTACTGTTTATTTGCTTAGTGTCCGTATCACTCATGTAATTATTTTCACCATTTTTTGTGTTATGGTTATCATTGAATAGCTGTTCGTATTATTGATCTTGTTACCCTTCGTACTACCACTAATTACCATTCTTAGCATTAGTACCCGTATTCGTATAAACCGTATTGCTCTTACTCATTGTGTTTTGACATCACAATGATGATGTTGATGCTGATGATGATGATGCGGCTGATGATGATGATGGTGATGATTGTGATGATGGTGATGATTATGATGATGATGATGCTGATGATGATGGTGATGCTGCTGCTGATGCTGATGCTATCGATGATGATGATGATGATGATGATGATGCAGATGATGCAGATGATGATGATGATGATGATGATGATGATGATGATGATGATGATGCTGATGATGCTGATGCTGCTGCTGCTGCTGATGCTGATGATGATGCTGCTTCTGCTGCTGCTGCTGATGGTGATTATGAGGCTGAGGATGATGTTGATGATGATGATAATGTTGATGATGATGCTGATGATGCTGATGATGATGCTGATGCTGCTGCTGCTGATGATGATGATGCTGCTGCTGATGATGATGATGCTGAGGCTGATGCCGATGCTGATGCTGATGCTGCTGCTGATGATGATGATGATGATGATGATGATGATGATGATGATATTAGTAATGATGCTGATGATGTCTCTGACCCCGCCTATCTCTCTGTCTCTCTGTCTCTTTCTCCTGACTCCCTCTTTCCCTCTCTCTCCCCCTCGCTCACTCCCGCGTCCTCATCCATCCCCCCTGCCTCCTTCCATCTAATCCCTGGCTCCCCTTTCTCGTCTCCCTCCCTCTCGTCCTGCCTTCACCCCCACTTGCCCCTCCTGCCCTCCCATTCCCTCCCTTCCTGTATCTCCTGCCCCTCTGGCTCCATGCCGGGCACGCCGTCACCTGCCCTCCCCTTTCTTCCCTGCCGCGGGTTTCCTCCTCCATTCCCTTCCCTGCCGTGTGTTCCCTTCCCTTCCTGCCTTTGCTTCCGGCCTTTCCTGCCCTTTCCGTTCCCTCCTTGCCATGCGCGCCCCCCTGGCTCCAGCCGGCACCCGCTGCCCCGCAGCCTCGGGGCCAGGCCCCCCCCCGCCGCGCATGTCCTAGCGGACCCTCCGCCGCGCGGGGCGCGGCCGCGGCCTGGCCGCGGCGCCGTGATGGGCGCCGCGCCCTCCTACGGGATCGACGTGCGCGTGACCGACCGCAAGAGCATCATCCGGGCCCCCGCCTGCCCTTTGCCAGCTTGAAGCATATCCTTATCCCGATGTCGGCGGCGGGCCAAGGGGGGGGAGTGAGAAAGGGCGGGCCTTCTCAGAAGGCTCGGAAGTCCCCTGGCCTTCTGAGGGGTTTTCTAAGCCTCCCCGAAGACACAGCAAACTTCTCAGACGGCGCGAGGGTTTCTGAGAAGTCCCGCCTCCTTCTGAGAAGGCTTTCTCCTTCTCACTCCCCCCTCGCTCGCCGCCGATACTATGTTTGACATACCTCACCTCGGTGCCGATCTTGAGGGCTCCCGCAGTTTCTGAAGGGCGCATCCCTGCGATTGTCATCGCCTTGGAGTTGCCGATCTCTAGGGATAGGGATAAGTTCGAGGCTGGTTAGCTCTTGGTCGCCGCCGGCCGCCGCCGCCGCCGCCAGCTCCCTCCCGCCCCTTGCCTCGGCCTCCTCGCCGCTCCAGCGCCGTGCTGCTCCCTCGTCGTCATCCCTTCGCCTCGCCCCCGGTCCCCCTCCTCCCCCCGCCTCTTCCTTCGTGGCCTCCTCCTTCGTCCTCCACCGCCGCCCCCCCCCCCCCCCTGCCCCCCCCCCTGCTTCTCCCCTCCCCAGGCTGGGGCGGGGGGCGGAGAGTGGAGGCGGAGGGGGGGATGGGCGGAGGGGTAAGGCGGAGAAGGAGGAGGAGGAGGAGGAGGAGGCGGAGGGATGATGATGATGAGGAGGAGGCGGAGAGGAGGAGGAGGAGGAGGAAGAGGAGGAGGAGGAGGAGGAGGAGGAGGAGGAGGAGGAGAAGGAGGAGGAGGAGGAGGCGGAGGGTGATGAGGAGGAGGAGCGGAGGAGGAGGAGGAGGAAGAGGAGGAGGAGGAGGAGGAGGAGGAGGAGGAGGAGAGGAGGAGGAGGAGAGCAGGAGGAGGAGGAGGAGGAGGAGGCGGGCGAGGGCGAGGACGAGGACGCGCCAGACGAGGCGGCGGACGAGAGGCAGAGAAAATGGCCGCAAAGGAGAAGGAGGAGGGAAGGCGGCGAGGAGGACGACAAAGACGAGGCTGAGGAAGGGCGCTGGCGCCGACGCCCGCGACCAACTCGGACGGGCCAGAGGAGGAGGACGAGGAGGAGGAGGAGGAGGAGGAGGAGCAGAGGGAGAAGGAGGAGGAGGAGGAGAAGGAGGAGGAGGAGGAGGAGGAGGAGGGGGAGGAGGAGGGAGCGGAGGAGGCGAAGAAGGCGGCAGCAGGCAAGGAGGAACCGAAAAAGGGCGGCTTGGCGGCGGCTGGCGGAGGGCGTCGGGCGGCAGACGGTGGGGAGCGAGCCGCGGAGCCGCGGGGGCCGGGCGAGCGCGTGCGCGGGCGCGCGTCGGTGCGCGCGGCGCGGCTCGCAAGGGTGGCGGGCTCCCCGTCGGTTTTTGGGGGGCCCGCTGCCACACAAGCAGGAGCAGGAGCAGGAGCAGGGGGAGGAGGAGGAGGAGGAGGAGGAGGAGGAGGCGGAGGAGGAGGAGGAGGAGGAGGAGGAGGAGGAGGAGGAGGAGGAGGCGGAGGCGGAGGCGGAGGCGGAGGCGGAGGCGGAGGCGGAGGAGGAGGAGGCGGCGGTGGCTGCGGCGGGGGCGTCGGAGGAGGAGGAGGAGGAGGAGGAGGGAGGGGTCCGGGGAAACGGGAGGGGGAGGGGAGAAGGAAGGCGGAGGGGGAGGGGTGGCCAGGCGGGGGTGGCCCCTCTGCCTCCCTCCTCCTCTCCCCAGTCGGTGGGTATGCACGGGCTCTGGCTTCGGACCTTGCTTGCCCCCGGGGCCGATCTTGATGCGATCGGCCTCACTCGTTGCCGAGTTCGCCCGGCTCGGTCGGATTCGATCTCGATTTCCTGGCGCTCCGATGCGGCCCGATGCTTGTACGGCGCTGTTGCGCACGCGGGCGCGGCCGATCCTGTTCGATTCCGACTCCGTGCTGGTGCAGCCCGATCCGACGCGCGTTCCGATTCGATCCGCTGTCCCGGTTTGACGCTGACCGGTCCTACCCTTCCCTCGTCCTGTTTCCCTGCCCATCCTTGCCCTGTCCGAACAACTCCCTGGTCCTTCTTCCCTGCCTGCCCCCTTCGACCCTTCGGTAGCAAGCCATGGGAGTCTTGCATACCCGCGTAATTCCGTTTCTAGAGTGCATCAGCATTGATTCGCGTCTGGAATTCGATGAGTTAGCGCCGGTTTAGCGTCGATCAGCGTCAAGCAGCGTCGATTAGCGTCGATTCGCAAGAGCCGACAAGATGGTATCGAAGGCTCCCATGAGTTGCCACCGAAGACACCTCAGCCCCATCGTCAAGGAGCAGTGCCTGAAGCGGATGGACTACGAAGGGCTGCAACACGCGTACCGGGTCGACAACCGGCCTGCGAATAGAGGGCAGCTGTCAATCTGGGGGGTCTCGCCATTCCCGCCGGGGGGGGGGAGGAGGGTGGTGGTAGTGGAGAGGTGGTGGTCGTCGTCATCGCTCTCATTCCTCCCTCCTCCCTCCTCCCTCTCACCTCCCTCCCTCCTCCCTCGCCCCTTTTGCCTCCTCCCTCCTCGGTCCCTCCCTCCTCCTCCTCCTCCGCCTCCTCCTCCTTCTCCTCCTCCCTTGTCTACCCTTCTCCCTTCTCCTCCTTCCTCCTTCCCCTCCCCCTTCCCGCCCTCCTCCTCCTCCTCCTCCTCCTCCTCCTCCTCCTCCTCCTCTCCCGTCCTCTTCCTCCGCGCGGCACGAAGCGCCAAGTCATCTGAACTAACGTTAACTCGTGAAAACAAATGGTCCTGCGCCCTCCCATGGCAGATGAATGGACCCAGCAGGACTCCAGACATCTTTTGTCATCACGCGCGCCCCGGGTCATCGCGGGCGCCGAGAAGGGGAGCGTGTACCCCCCTGCACGGCAGCCTCAAAACGGTTTCCTTTCGTATAGGCATTGTAAAATGGATGGTGTACATCCGAGGGAAAGTGCTTTTTATTGATTACTGCGTCTTCGTCGTCGCCGCCGTCGCCGTCGCCGTCGTCGTCGTCGTCGATCCCCCCCCGCCCCTATGGGGCATCCGCAGCCACCAATTGAGCATCCGCAGCGTGTAGTCGTCCGTCGTCCGTCGTCGCCCCGTCGCCGTCGGTCGTCGTCGACTAAATACAGCGCGCCTGCGCACCCCCCTACCCTCATGGGGCATCCGCAGCGCGCGCGCGTCGTCTCTCGTCGGCCCTGTCGCCATCTTCGTCGACTACAGCGGGCCTGCGCAGCCTCCCCCGCCCCAGAAGGCATATTTCAGTGGAGGGGGGAAGGGTGAGGGGGTGGAGTAGGAGAAGGCGAAGGAAAAGGAGGAACCGCTGCCGCCTGCCAATCATCCCCCTTCGTCCTTTTTCTGTTTGTAGCCACGTCGGCCCGCCTGCCACTTGTGACGCGTCGCTCCCTCCCGCCTCCTTCTCTGATCCTGTCCTTAACCATTTTAGCGCAACCGCCCCGCTATAGCGGAGGCGCTGCTGTCGCCCCCGCTGAGGCGGCGCCGATCGCGTCGCGCCTGTCGCCTTCCAGCTGGCGGCCAAGTGTCGGCGCTAATCACCAGCGCCGCCATGACGTATTTTCTTCTGGCGGGCGTCCCGCCGCGAATCGCCCGAGCAGGGACGCATCGTTTTTAACTTGTTTTTAGTTGCTAGTTGCTATTTTATGATTGTTTGAATTTTTTAATCTGTTTTCAACCGAGCAGGGTTTGCTTTTAGTTGCTGGGAGCTGACAACATGGGGGTCCCCAGAAGGCCCACGTATCTCTGGAGGCCCCCTGGGGGCCCCTGCAGGGTGCCAGAGGTGCAGGATGCACGCGGAAGCTTTCGGACGATCCCAAGTAGAACATGTCAAAGACGTTCGATGCTTCTCGATTCGCCCCTCGAAATGGCTTGCGTCGGCATCGGTGGAGGGTTCAGCGGTGCGTCCCGCGCGCCTCGTCGGCCCAGGTGGGGGGAGGAGGAGGCGGAGGCGGAGGCGGAGGCGGAGGCGGAGGAGGAGGAGGAGGAGGAGGAGGAGGAGGAGGAGGAGGAGGAGGAGGAGGAGGAGGAGGGAGGAGGAGGATCCGCTGTCGGCGCGGCGCCGCCCGCTGGCCGTCACCCCCCCCCCCGACGGCAGGACGCCCTTCGCCGAGGGGGCGGCAGGTGCCCCGCGACCGGTCCGAACCCTCGGGCCCGGGTGAGGGCAGGCGGATCCAGGAAAAGGCGAAATTGGTGGACCCGAGCTTATGCAAGGGCGGCGAAAACTCCTTCCCGTACATGGAGGCGGGCATCCTGCCGCCGGTATTCTTTCGCCTGGCCTCTGCTCGTCTCCGCTTCCCCCTCGTTCCGCCTCGTTCGTGGCCTTGATCGGGGATCGGGATTGATGGATGGCGGTGGCTTGTGGGGCAGGGGTGGCCGTGGTAAGTTCGGTCGTGGGCCGGCAGCGTTGTGAGACAAGCGTTGCTCCGTCATGTGCTCGTTGTCGTCGTCGTTCGGCAACGCGCAGAGGGGGGTAGGGGGAGGGGGGAAGGCTTCTTAGAAGCACCCCTGCTCCTTAGAAGGCGCGGGCCTTCTCTATAGACGTAAGGCCGAGGCCTTCTAAGAAGCAGGGTGCTTCTAAGAAGCCTCCCCCCCTGCCCCTACCCCCTCTTGCGCGCCGCCAAGTCGTTCTCCGCGCCTCCGCTCTTGCCCAGGCCTCCTCAGCAGCGCCACGGCGGGCGGGGTTGGAGGATCACATCGCATCGCCGATGCATCGGCGGAGCGGCGCGACCGAAGGCCCGATCGTCATCATCCCGACGTCGCCAATGCATCACCGAGGCATCGGCGGTGCCTCCGTCCTCCTTTCTCTGTCGCCTCGTTGCCGGGCCGCCTGTGAAGGGCTGTCGACTGATTGGTGGTCCCCAAACGTGGTGGTGAGAACATCCGGTGGTGAGTTTTGGGCGATTTGGGTAATGGTTTTCGAGCGCTGGCTGGCCCAGGAAACGCAAAACCTCGTGGCGACCGCGTGTCCCCAAACCCGGTGGTGACCCAGAATTATTTTTGGGGGAATCGGGGTCACCACTGGGTGTCTCACCACCTGGTTTGGAGACCACCAAACTGAACGCGATCCTTTCGGTCCTTCTCCCAGCACGGGCGATCATTCAGAGAACGGGCTCGGCCTCGCGGACATTGGCGTGCAAGCCGCCCGCTTGAGGCCACGAGTGTATGCCCCTCCCCTCTCTCGCTGGCAGCCTGCCGCGTCGGCGGACCGCTATGGGCACCGCGTGCAGCTGGCACGGGGTCAAGACCATCCCAGGCTTGTAAGGGGCACCGTCACGCTCTTCGCGTGTGGGGTTGGTTTTCCACCGCGTTGCTGTGTTGCCCGCTTGGGCACCTCCATCATGGGCCCTCGGGCCCTGAGCGAAGGGGTGCATGCTCTTCACCCACGCTCTTGTGGCCACGTTTCGGCTAAAAGGTCGTCGCGCCCTCGTGGTAGATCCCGCTGTTCTCTTCGTTGGTCACATGGGCAACGGAAGGAAACGGGGTCGACTTGGCCGACAATCGCGCGTAAGTTTCCCGCGCAAGGTCCCCGTGAGCTCTCTCCGCGGGGTTTGCATCGCTGGCTGCCCGCGTAAGCCGTGGCGTAAGGTCGCTCGGTCTTCGCAAGAAGCGTTTCTCTTCCATGAGCTGGCAACTAGCACCCAGACCTGTTCGACTTTGTGATTTCTCGGGGTAGTATTCCCCGAGGGGGGCTATAGGTGTGTGCTGCCGTATGGGGCTCCCCGCTCGAACGGAAGCCCCGCTCGGGGTCCGACAGCCCGAACCCATACCTATTGCGCTTTCATCTCCATGCCCTCCCCCATTCCTCCTCCCTTCACGTTTGAGTGTGTGTGTGTGTGTGTGTGTCACTGTTTCATCATGCCTTCGCTCCTGCGATGGAGGCCAGCATCCTGCCGATAGTGACCGCGTTCCTCTTCGGCGGCGCCCTCATTCGCTGCTTCGAGGTCTGCCCGCTGTGGTTCGTGGTCTTCGGGGCAGCCCGAGCGGGAACGATAGCGGAGGAGGAGGAGGAGGAGGAGGAGGAGGAGGAGGAGGAGGAGGAGGAGGAGGAGGAGGAGGAGGAGGAGGAGGAGGAGGAGGAGGAAGAGTAGGATGTGGAGGGGACTGAGGAGGGATGTGGCACCTGGATCTGATGGTGCACGTGTTTTTGGGTTCTCACTCATGATGCCATTGTTGACGCCGCTGGGGGGGGGTCAGGGGCAACGTCAGGGGGGGATAGGCTCAGGGGGGGTAGATCGACCCACAGTCCATCGAGTTCTCGGCGGCTTTTCAGCCTCAGGATGCCTTCCAGCGGCTGCGCCTCGCCGAGAGCGTTCTGGGGGTGCCCGGATTGTCCAGAACGGCCGCCGGAGGGCAGAGTGATGGCCCGAAAACCGCCCTTCTTCTCGCATATCCAGGATGGAGGGGTATTACGGTGAGAACGTTTGCTTAGCGTGCCGCCCCGCTGGTTCTAGCCCACCACGCTTCGGCGCGACACGGCAAGCATGTCCCAGCACCCAAGCATCAACGTTCCGAGCTTTTGCCAGCCTCCCGTCCAACGACGCGTAGCGACACGCTATCAGTTTTCAAGGGCGTAGCGTGTCGCAGAGGCCGCTGCCGCAACACGCTGAGCAAACGTTCCTGACCGTAATCCTCCCCTCCCGTCCAACCCTCCTTTCCCTCTCTCTTGAAGCGGGAGGATGTCGAACTTCGCTGTCCCTCTTGTTTTACCTGCCCCAAGGTCTACTACAAGACGCTCGACCAGATCTTCGCGAAGATCGACATGGGCTTCAAGCAGTTTTACGGCCATCGGGGGACCAGGGTCCATTTCGACACGATCGATCAAATTCGATACCGATTCCAGCTGCCTCGGTCCGATTCGATTCTGATGTCCTGGCAATCCGATGCGGCCCGACGCCTGCATGGAGCCGCTGTATGCGGCCGATCCGATGCTACTCCGACTCCATGCTGATGGCGGCCCCATGTGATCCGACTCTGCCGACCCGATCCGGCCTTGCCGACTCGATGAGGCGGAGAGTCGCCTTCTGGCAGTGGCCTCCGGAGGTCTGTCGGCGGCTCCCAGGCCGCCCCGGCGGGGGCGGTCAGACATCGGTCCGGGATGGAAAGCTGGCGCGGACCGACCTTGGCTCACCACCCGCCAAACCACCCCAACCCAACCCGAAGGCCTCAATTTGCCCTCCATTCCCAGGTGGGGTGGGGGCGTCGGGGAACACTGAAAAAAGCACATGTGGAAGCCGTACCCCCCCCAACCCGAGATGTGAGTCTTGGGGCGAGGTTGGGGTGGTCTGGTAGGTCATCACTGGCAGGGGTCCATCGGACATGCTCACTCCAGACATGTTGGCGTTTTCGGAGCAACAGGGCGGGCGATTTTTGGCCATTTTCGACCTCCAGGGGCCCTCGCCGGGCCCCAGGGCCGTCAAAGATGCTCTGGGACGCAAGACTGGCCGTGGGCAAAGGGTCGGGACTACTGGGGACCCCTTGCGGAACAAGCTCAGGACGTTGCACGTCTGGGACATCCGTGCGCTCGCGGTCTGGATGCCGAGGCGCGATCCCCATGGATACAGTGGAAGCCGGTCCACAAGAAACCTTCCAAAAGAATGCCAACCCTGAGATCTCAGGACGCCCATTGCCTTTTTGCGTAGGAACGTCAAACCTTCCGTAAAAAACATCGAAACCCAAGAAACCCTGGGCACCTTGGAGGCATTCTTGGCATGCGCCCCCACTGTATGGGCTCCTGCGGATGCGCTCTGCGCGGGTCGTCCGCGCAGAGCTGCCCCGCACCCAGGGAGTCGCGGCCGAGGAGTCCGGGCGGCGGGACGGCTGATACGGACTCTGATGTCTCCCGCCCCGAGATCATCGGCGATCGAAGCGTTGCGCCCGACGCTGCCTCCAACTCCAGACCCTCGAGGGATGGAGATTCTGGCTTTGGGGCCGCGGTCGCCCCCTGTTCGGAGGGTACCAACTATACACCAACACCGATCCTGGCCAGTATCACCCTGGGCCCAGGATCGGTGCATACGCCCTCCTGCCTGGGGCAGGAAGGCATATACGCCGATCCTGGGCGCAGGATTTGCCTGGCCAAGATCGGTGTAGGTGTATAGTTGGTGCCCTCCGACTTGTGGTCAGGGTGGAGTCCAAAGAGGGGTCTGGGCATCCACTTGGATCAACAAGTGGCTCCTCGGCAGATTCTCGCCGCGCTGCCGGCGGCGACCCCAGCGCCGGCGTTCGAGGTGGAACGCCGCCGGTGGCTCCGAAGGGACCTGTAGCGAACGATCTGCGCTATCGGAAGGCTGCGATTAAGTCGCGCCTGTCCCTCGACAGAAGGAATGTTCAAACATAGTCAACAGATAGTCAAGAGACGATTTTTGGAGTCTTTTTGGACCATGGGATTTTTAGACTATTTTCAATGTTTCGTCCAAAATCCCCCTGTAGGGGGACATGTCCGACTTGAGGCTACGATCGTAAATGATCCACGAAGTGTCAGCTGGCAACGTCCGCGTCGACACAGCGTGAACCAGCCAGAGGGCATGGATACGGACAGCCTGGCATCCGGAGGCCGGATCTTCTTCCACCCTCGGGGGAGCGTAAGACCCGGGTTTGCCAGGACTCGGGTTCGCCATCGTTTTTTGACGACCGCGCCTCGGATTTTGACGAGGAGTTTCGTGGGATGTCTGCAGCGGGAGGCCTCGTCAAAATGCAGGCTCGGCCTCGTCATTTTTTTGACGACCTCGTCCGGGATTTCCGAGTCCCCTGTACCCAGGTCTTACGTCCCCCTGACACCCCCCCCGCTCTGGCCAGTCGTGGGGTTGGGGCGCGAGCAGGGGCAGGAGCAAAGCGTCGGTCGCCTGTCCGAGGCCACTCCCTCCACCTGGAGTACGCGCGCACGGACCTCGGGGACACGAACATCGGCGGCGAGCGAGGGGGGGAAGTGAGAAGGAGAAGGTCTTCTCATTCGGGGGCGGGCAGACCTCCCACCCTGACACGTCGATAAGTGAATTGTCCGTTTTCGGTTCTCGAGAGGGCGCCGCGGCCGTTATTTTCCAGGCTTGCGCCCGCCAGGTTTGGGGCCGCGGTCGTTTTCACTAAACCACGTTTTACTAAAGGGGGTTCTGTCCATCGCCGACTCATAAGGCTCGGAAGTCCTCTGGTCTTCTGAGAAGTTTTCTAAGCCTTCCCCGAAGGCGCAGAAAACCTCTCAGATGTCGCGAGGGCTTCCGAGAAGCCCCGCCGCCTTCTGAGAAGGCCTTCTCCTTCTCACTTCCCCCCTCGCTCGCCGCCGAGGAATGTGGTTTGGGTTGTGCAGTGAGCGAAGGGGTCCCCGGGATGCCCCCCCCCTCCCGCGATGGAGGGAAGCCTCGCCACGCTGGCGCGCTCCCGCTTTGGGGCGCGGCCTTCGTTGTTGCTAGAAGCGTTAGAGGCTGTTTGTTTTGTTTGTTTTCACCCTCTTTCTGGGAAGCGTGGGACTCGAGTGCGTCGGAACTCGGGTTTGCCGACTTTTTTTGACGCGCGCGTCTTGGATTTTGATTGTCCAGTTATCGTTGGGTGTTTGCAGCGGGAGCTCGCGTCAAATTTCAGACTGGGTCTCGCCATTTTCATGATGGCCCCAGCAGGCCAACCCGAGTCCCCCGAACCCGAGTCTTGCGTCTCCCCGATTCTTGGTTTCCGGCCAGCCAAAACAGAAGTCAAGCCCAAGGCAGAACAAAACGGCGGTACAAAATGGAATCGCATCGCAAACGGCGCGAGCGAGGCTCCCGAAACGGAGAGTCAGTAGTTCCCCAAACGAACAAAAGAGGTTGGTCTTGAAAGCAGAAGAAAACCCCCAGCGTTTTTAAACCTCAACCAAAAGTGCGCACTACCACCGGGCATCCTCGGACCCGTTCCGGCACAGGCCTTGGTGTACATGGCCTCCTGGCCTCTCCGAGTCGGGCAGGCTTAGGATGAGGATAAGTCGTTCCTGAGCGTTCTGTCACGCTCCACGCGTTCTGGAGCGCTCTGGAGTGACCGCGGCGCCCGACACGTCCTGCAGACCCGCCGACTCAGAAATTCCCTATCTGCCCCCAAGCTGACTGAATCCTCACCAGGTGTCTGGGCTCCAGGCTTGGTCGGAAATCGATCACATGACCTCCTGGAGTGGGTGCGTTCTGGGTAGCATGTCAGGGTGATTCCAGCCGTGGCGACGAGGAGGCGCATAGGCGGCCAAAGCCGCTTCAGAGCTCCGTACCTCAAGCCTCCAGCCAGAGCTCCGTACCTCAAGCCTCCAGCCTCGAGTCTCGAGCTGCGAGCCTCGGACTTCGAATCTCGAGCCTCGTCCGAGCTTGTGCCAGTCCTGCGTCTCGCCGAGCGCCAGCCGGCACCAAGGCCCAGGCCCAGGGGGTGGGTGGGCCCGTGGAGGCTGGGTGCCGGCAACGGCGTGTGATCTTCCTCTCTGCCCCAGGACTGGTCTCCAGTGCACGTGGCCGAGGCGGTGGGACGCAGAGGGATCTTCGGGGGCGTCCGGGAGGGGGGAGGACCAGGTTGGGAGCAGCGTGCACTTTTCCCGGGTTTTCCGAGCATTTTCCAGTCCGTGGTGGTCTCCACCAGCTGCGCCTCGTCGAGAGCGTTCCGGGGGTGCCTCGATCGTCCCGAGCGGCCGCCAGAGGCCCGAGTTGTGGCCCCCAAGCAAAGGAGCGACTGCGCCTGTACTGTCTTGCCCCAGCCTTTCTCCCCCCTCCAGCTCCCTTCTCATCCCCATCGCCCTCTCACCTTCCCCTCCCTCCTCCCTCTCCGCTTTCCTCTCCCTCCTCACCTCCCCCCTTTCCCTCCTCCCCGCCCCTGCCTTCCGCTCTTCTCCCCTTGGCTCTGGAGAAAGGAGGAGGAGGAGGAGGAGGAGGAGGAGAAGGAGGAGGGGGAGTGGGAGGAGGAGGAGGGGGGGGGGGAGTGGGAGGAGGAGGAGGGGGGGGGGGGAGGAGGGGGATGAGGAGGATGAGGAGGATGAGGATGAGGATGAGAAGGAGGATGATCGTTGGTTGATGATGATGCTGATGATGCTGCTGATGATGATGATACTGATGATACTGATGATGCTGCTGCTGATGCTGGTGCTGATTATGATGACGATGCTGGTGATGCTGATGTTAATGACGGTGGTGGTGGTGGTGATTATGCATCTGCTGATGGTGACGCTGGTAATGATTGGAATTCGATGATGATGACGGCGGCGATAATGATGACGATTACTCTGATGATGCTGCTGACGATGATTACGATGCTGATGCTGGTGCTGATGATTGTGATGATGCTGCTGTTGAGTTTGACGATGCTGACGAGGATGATGACTGTTATTGTTTGTGGCGACGATGCAGATGATGATGATGACGATGATGACGATGCTGATGCTGCTGATGATGAGGATGATGGTGATGATGGTGACGATGGTGATGATGGTGATGATGATGATGCTGCTGATGATGATGCTGCTGATGATGATAACGACAATGCTGATGACCATGCTGATGATGCTGATGCTGATGGTGATGCTGATTCTGATGATGATAATGTTGATGATGATGATGACGATAATGGTTGTGCTGCTGCGGATGATGCTTGTGATGATGATTTTGCTGATGATGATGGGTCATGATGACGACGATGATGATGATGATGATGCTGATGCTGATGATGATGATGGTAAGGATGCTGCTGCTGATGATGATGCTGATGATGATGACAGTACTGATGGTTCATGGCGATCGTGCTGGCGACAATGATGGTGATTGTGATGATGCTGCTGATGCTAATGCTGATGCATGATGCATGCTGCTGATGCTGATGCTGATGCTGATGATGCTGATGCTGATGCTAATGATGAGGATGATGATGATGATGATGATGGTGATGATGTTTCTGATGATGATGATGATGATGATGATGATGATGATGATGATGATGATGATGATGATTATGATGATGATGACGAGGAGGAGGAGGATGAGGATGATGATCATGAGGATGATGATGATGATGATGATGGTGATGGTGATGGTGATGGTGATGATGATGATTATGATGATGATGATGATGATTATGATGATGAAGAAGATGATGCTGCTGCTGATGATGATGATGATGATGATTATGATGCTGATGATGATGATGATGCTGATGATGATGATGATGATGATGATGATGATGATGATGATGATGATGATGATGATGAGAGAAGGAGGGGGAGGAGGAGGAGGAGGAGGAGGAGGAGGAGGAGGAGGAGGAGGATGAGAAGGAGGAGGAGGAGGAGGAGTTTGCTGCAGAAGATGAGGATGGAGGCGGAGCAGGAGAAGCAGCAACACTATTCAATGTTAGTTGGCGTAGAAGAGAGCAGGAGGAGGAGGGGGAGGAGGAGGAGCAGCAGGAACATAATCAGCAGGAAACGGATAAGCACAAGCACAAGGATGATATCTCTTTGCTCCTCCTTTCCCCCACATGTCATCCCAGGCGGGCATCCGCATCGACAGGATTCTGATAGCGCGCGTCACGAACCTCCACGTGAACCGGTGCACCAAGGTATCTTACGGGTACGCCTACAAGGAGGTCCCCAGGCGTCCTCCTGTTGCTCCTCCGCCTCCTCCTCCCCTTTCCTCCCTCCTCTCTCTGCCCTTTTCCACCCTCCCTGCCTCTGAGGAGTCTTCCCCCCAATATGTAGGTGGCGGATACTGCTTCGCAGTCGTTCCGAATCCGAATCCGAATCCATCTCCTCTTCCGCCCCTCTCCTTCCTGCTTCCTCCTGCCAGCCTGCCCCCTCCTCCTTCCTCCCTCGTCCCCGTTCCTCCCCTCCTCCCCCCTCCCTCCCTCTACCTCCGTACCTGCTCTGCGCAAGCAATATTCTAATGCACTCTTCTGCGCATCACGGCCAAATTGGCTGGCGTTTGTCGCGTCGACGGGCGGTTTTGGACGCGAGTAATTTGACCCGCGCCCTCGCTCCTCCTCTTTGCCCCCTCCCTCCGCCCCTCGCCCCCACGGGTAGTGCTCTCGCCGCATGACCAGCATTTTGCCGCTGGGGTGGTGTGGGCGCTTCGCCCACACCACCCCAGCGTGGTTTAGTCACCCCTCTGGAAGATCGACGCCTGGTATGAGCCCAGATGTTCTACCAAAACGCTGCTGGCGTTGTCACCCCTCTGGGAGATGGACGCCTGGTATGAGCCTAGATGTTCTTTCAAAGCGCTGCTGGCGTTGTCCCCTCTGGTGTGGGCGCTTCGCCCGACTTCCTCAGTTCGAACACGTGGGTTTAGGGTTAAGTCGGGCGTGTCCCTCTACAGGAGGAATAGTCAACAACAGTCCAAACATTATCTGGGGACGATTTTGAGTATTTTCCGGCTATTTTTCAGCATTTCTGGGGTATATTCTATTTTTTCGCCCACAGCCCGCCTGTAGGGGGACATGCCCGACCTAAGTTTAGGGCTCAGGGTTCAGAGTTCAATGCAAACGATCACCGCGGCTACCACTCGGAACGTGATGTGGACTCAATCCTTGCGGTTCTCGCCGGCCATTTTGTGGAGGGCGGTTCCTCTTCAAAATGGTGCTCTTGACCGCTCCAGATGTAATCATGGAGTTGAGCGTGGATCACTGTGCAACCGCTACCTGGATGGAGGGGGGATCCTTTTTCAAAGTGGGGTTCGCGCCTGAAGCTTGCTAGTATTTGCCGAGACACGGATAATTGCCCAACAGCTAATTCCGGGGATGAAGGGCGGTTTCTTTTCAATTTGAGGCTTGCGATCGATTCCTTCGGAGGCTTTTTGATCCTAGATCTTGGCAGTGCTCATCGTTGCAATAATGAATGCGTTTCCTTTTTTTCGAAACGGGCCTATAGCTGGAACGGCGGGCCCACATGGCGCTCGTCTTTCTATCAAAGGGGTATCGCACTGAAAAGGAGGAGTTACTTGCAGGACTCATGAGCAGGGCTCTTGTGAAGGTAGGTTTCGATGCATCATCGCTGATGCATCCTGGGTTTACCACGGTCGGTCTCCCCCTCCCCTCTCCCCCCTTCCCCTCCTCCCCCTCCTCCTCTTCCTCCTCGTCCTTTCCCTCGTCCTCCTCCTCGTCCTACTCCTCCTCTTCCTCCTCCTCCTTCTCCTCCTCCTCCTCCCCCTCCTCCTCCTCCTCCTCCTCCTCCTCCTCCTCTTCCTCCTCCCCCTCCTCCTCCTCCTCCTCCTCCTCCTCCTCCTCCTCCTACTCCTACTCCCCCCCTCCTCTTCCTCCTCCTCCTCCTCCTCTTCCTCCTCCTGCTCCTTCTTCTGGCGCTTGTTCCGCTTGGGGGAGACGCCAGCAGGCAGCACTGGTGTCCAACGTGCACTGGACGCATGCGCGGCTCCATGCGCACAGCCTGGTAGCCTCGCTTGTCTGCCGCCTGTGCGGCTGCGGCAAGGGCACCTTGTACCACCGCCACCACGACTGCGACGCCCATGCCGCGCTGCGACGGGACCACGCCCCGCGTGAGCTGCGCGACAGGGCTGCACGAGTGCGCGCGTGGAGCGAGGAGGCGGCCGAGCGCTTCTGTCGCGCACTTTTGCCCGACCCGCGGGTTCTCTTCCCCATGCGGGAGCAGGCAGAGGAGGTGCACTGGATCAACCGCCCAGGGGCGCGATGCTCCTCGACGGGAGCCCGTCGGACAGGAGCCTCGTCGGGCTGGAGAGGGCGGTCTGAGCGGTCGTGCAAGTGGACCGCTTCGGAACCTTGCAGGACGCGGCCTTCGGCGCCGTGCCGCTGGCCATGACGCCCGGCCAGACGGCGCCAGACGCAGAAGACTACGCTGCCTTCGTGCTCCAGCATGCGGCCATGGGCCCCAAGGGGATGCACTTCGATTGCTCCAACACGCTGAGGGCGCTCGCGGCGGGGCCTGGGGCAGGCACGGTCGCCCCGGCGCCGAGGCCGCACATAATGGAGGCCTTCTGGGGTGCTTCATGTGCGACAACTTTGAGTCGCACAAGACGCTTGTACACTCCACGCCGTCCGGTACGGAGGCGGGCCGCACCCATTGGCAACGGCACGCCAACGGTCACGCGGACGAGCTGGACAAGCGAGGCGCCAGCCTCCACCCTTTCGGCACCGAGGACGAAGAGCTCTGGAAGGGCCTAGAGGCGCTGGCTGAGGAGGCGGCTCGATGGAGCGCAGCGCTGGACGCCTCGCTCACCGACCAGGGCCGCTTGGACCATGAGGATGTGCTGCGTGGCAAGCAGGAGGGGGCCGCTGGCCCGAGCGCAGAGGAAGTGGAGGGCGCCCCCGCCGAGGCAGAGGTCGACTTCGACGCGATGTCGGGCGCGGAGCCCCCGCCTGTCGAGGAGGAGCCCCAGAGCGCCCACCTGGACACGGCGGGGCCGCTGCTCAGTTTCGACCACAGCTGGGGCGAGCTGCGATAGCGGGCAGCGCGCATCAACAGACACCCCTTCCTCCGTTGCGGCGTGGTGCAGCTGCCGGGAGCGAGCGTTGTCGTCTGTCTGGGTTGCGGGGGAGTCTGGACGGGCAGAACGCTGGGCAAGGTCCTGAAGGCGCGCTGCGAGGGGCCCAAAACCCATGCTGGCCGCGAGCAGCTGCGTCTTATCAGCCAGGGCAGGTGGCCGCACTACCGGCCTAGCCACCAGCATGAGACGCTGGAGGGGCCGAGGGCGTTCAACGCCGAGTAGACGGAACTGCTGGAGAGCGCCCTCGGCGGCATGCCCACCGCGCGCGCCCGCGCGGCAGATGCGGCTCTGGTGGGGCGCGCCGCGACCGAACCGCTGCTAGGGTTTGCTGCTCGCGGCATCTCCTCGCTGCTTTCGGTCTGCACACGGCGGACCTCGAAGGCATGCGGGTGCGGGACAGGTGGGGGGCCTTGCCCACTGGCTCCAGGGACGAGGAGTTCGGGTCCGACGAGGAGTGGGCGGCGTTTCAGACTGGTATCGGGCACATCCTGAGGCTGCCCCAGCGCGGGGCCGCACCGTTACCATTACCATTACCATCACCATCACCATTACCATCACCATTACCATTACCATTACCATTACCATTACCATTACCATTACCATTACCATTACCATTATCATTACCATTACCATTACCATTACCATTTCCATTACCATTACCATTACAATTACCATTACCATTACCATTACCATTACCATTACCATTACCATTAGCATTAGCATTAGCATTAGCATTAGCATTAGCATTAGCATTAGCATTAGCATTATCATTAGCATTAGCACTAGCATTAGCATTAGCATTAGCTTTAGCATTAGCATTAGCATTAGCATTAGCATTAGCATTAGCATTAGCATTAGCATTAGCATTAGCATTAGCATTAGCATTAGCATAACCACTACCATTACCATTACCATTACCATTACCATTACCATTACCATTACCATTTCCATTACCATTTCCATTACCATTACCATTACCATTACCATTACCATTACCATTACCATTACCATTACCATTACCATTACCATTACCATTACCATTACCATTACCATTACCATTACCATTACCATTACCATTACCATTACCATTACCATTATTACCATTACCATTACCATTACCATTACCATTACCATTACCATTACCATTACCATTACCATTACCATTACCATTACCATTACCATTACCATTACCATTACCATTACCATTACCATTACCATTACCATTACCATTACCATTACCATTACCATTACCATTACCATTACCATTGCCATTGCCATTGCCATTGCCATTGCCATTGCCATTAGCATTAGCATTAGCATTAGCATTAGCATTAGCATTAGCATTAGCATTAGCACTAGCATTAGCATTAGCATTAGCATTAGCATTAGCATTAGCATTACGCATTAGCATTACCATTACCATTACCATTACCATTACCATTACCATTAGCATTAGCATTACCATTACCATTACCATTACCATTACCATTAGCATTAGCATTAGCATTAGCATTAGCATTAGCATAAGCACTACCATACCATTACCATTACTTACCATTACCATTACCATTACCATTACCATTACCATTACCAATACCAACCATACCATTACCATTACCATTACCATTACCATTACCATTACCATACCATTACCATTTCCACATTACCATTACCATTACCATACCATTACCATTACCATTACCATTACCATTAATACCATTACCATTACCATTACCCATTACCATTACCATTACCATTACCATTACCATTACCATTACAATTACCAATACCTTACCAAATACCATGTACCATAACCATTACCAAACCATTACCATTACCATTAACATTAACCATTACCATTGCCATTACCATAACCATACCATTACAAGACCATAACCTTACCATTACCATTACATTACCATTACCATTATAATTTCCATTACCATTACCATTACCATTACCAGTACCATGACCATTACCATTACCATTACCATTACCATTGCCATTGCCATTGCCATTGCCATTGCCATTCGCCACTACCATTACCATTGCCAGTACCATTTCCATT